CCAGCATTATTAAATAAATAGAAGAAATCTATTTCCTTGATAACTCCAGAACATCTAAGCGCTCGCCTCTGAATTTTCAGCCTTGTTAGACAACTTAAACAATATTACTTTTCAACGTTGAGATTATGTGGAATTCCCGTCATGCAGCATTTTAACTGGCCGATAAATACAGGGAATTATTTTCTCTCTAGGATTTAGTTGGTATAGTTATCCAACATACAATCTGGGCCTGAAAGTGTGCATGAATGAACAGTGGTCCACTATTTCGCCCTGTGTAATATTTTCATCAATATTATTTGATCCTGGTTTAAGAGCAATAGCATATTACCGTAGTACTGAGACTATCCAAAATAAATATAATTTTAAACTTATTTTGTGAATTTTATAGTAAAATGCATAATGCTGGGTAAAAGTTTCTTAGGGACCTCTCACCCATAACTCTCATTCTAACTCTGCCCTCCAGTACCCCTCCACCATTTCAATTGAATATACCCTTCTTCGAGTCACTTATTCATAGGGGCATATTCAATTACTTTGGGGGTTGGAGTGTTAGGGTTCAGGTTAGGGGTGAGGGGCCAGGCCTTAAGGAACTCTAATCTTTCCCAGCAAGCCCCTCATTTTGAATGTGTGGGCGGTTGTAGTTGCTATATCACGTGTAGGCATGCGCACTCATTATATACGTACACAATGTTTAGCTCTTGAAAACTGATGATCACCAATTACAATTTATTATAAATACGTGTAGAAGCAAAGCCCCATCTTTGTGTCTTTCATTGTAACTTCTACGGGAAATGTTTTAAACACTGAAAATTATCATTATTATAGCTCTGCCCGGCCCGGGTTTTTAGGATCCTTTGATGACGATCGGGTTATCACCTGTGCTACTGTTCCTCAAAACCATGATTTTGCTAAATATACAGACACCTACACATCTCAAGTTCACTGCTCATAGCATTGCAAAGCATTGTCATTGTGTCATGGTGTCGGTTTATCACTGGCATTTCCATGACAATCTTACACTTTATACGGATTAAAAAGTTAACTATTATACAGGATTGATATATGACATAATTACAAAGTACAAACCTTCCTGCATTTTTAGTAATACCGTCGAATTCGGAGACCGACTTCGCTTCCAGTACATTCGCCATGTTGTTCTGACCTTGAATTCGTTTTTTGTCCTTTGCCTAAGAGGGCGCAATCACAGGAAATACAAAGTGCGCCGCCTATTTTTATTTTTATTACATGTACAGTACAAGCCAATATAACAAAGAGAAAAAAAGAACATAAAACCACTTACGCCATATTTTTGTTTCAATCCAAATATAGGCGAAAAAGAGTATTTTCAATACGAATATAGGCGAAGAATAATATTTTCAATCCAGATATTTGTTTTTATCATTTCGAATTGTGAATCGAATGTTCCAGCTTACTGCTCACACCGTGAAGACAAGGGTGAACGGATACGAAACCATGCAATGGAAAAATGATGTAAATCCAATATAAAGAGTACTGTGGGGGGAAAAGAGCAAAAATAAAAAGGTCATCAAACACGCCAGAAAAACTTGAATATTTTTTTTTTCTATTTCGTCCACTGAACCGAGGAGATGATTTTGGACATGATTGTCAGTTTCTTCTGAATAATAATTTACAAATATGCTGGATATTCATAAATTCATTCCAATGTTTTCGAGATAATATGTGTGGATTGAAATGCCTGCAAAACCTTAAGTTAACCTTAAAGTCATGTTTTACTAGTGAATTAGTAGTTTGTTGTTAAAATTAGGTTGACACTTTCTTCACGCCAACACGTTTGAAGTCATGCAGTTTAATGAGTTTGTTATATATTCTAAAATAGCGTAAATTTATGTCGCATATATAGTATTTTGCATCAACAAATATTTCAGCTATAAACTACTATTACTCACAATAGTTAGTTGGACAAAGTAATTTCTGAAGCTGATTGTACAAAATGTCGCCGAAAAATAGAATCTGTCAATTAGGACCTTACCAATTTTGAATGCTGAATACTAGTATATACAGACAAACATCAGGATGGGAAGAGACTCTTTTTGTGCTCTGCACTCGGAAGCAAATAACGGGTATAAATGTCAACTCTTGATAAATTGCATCACATATATACTAAAACAGATGATTTGTTTTATAACAATAACCGTGATGCATTTATTTTATAATGTAATATTAATCTAATATTCGGAAAACGTGCAATATCATATCACAAATACTATAATGGGGGGGGGGGGGTGTTAATTTCCTAACGCTTGAGTTCGTGTTTTTTCCACACTCAAGCAAATTGATTTACTCTTTGACACACAAAACTACCTTCAATATCGTCAGGGAAAATGTTTATGACATACAGGTGACCTGATCAGAGCAGCTTTTATTGAAGTCAAGACGATGTAATCTTGCATAACAAGTTACAGGAAGCTGATCGCTGATATTTGTTATGTTTGTGATTTAAAATGCAAATTATTGTGTCCGAGAATTAATTCACATATACTAAAGCTAAACTTTTCTCTACACACACTTTTCTGTGACATTGTCTCACAATCAATGCCAATGTTCAGGTAAATGAAAAAAAATGTAAATCAATATGTAAATTAGACAACTAAACTGAACAAATTAATTAGAAACTATTATCGGACAATCAAATGTAAAAGTGTTCGTATGTACCAAGTTTCGTCCCGTTAAAGCAAACACTTATGATACAACACGGGATGTATGCCACGCTGTATTTTGGCCGTTTTGCGTTGTCGCAAGTTAAAAATAAGTATGCAAATAATTATCGAG